CCTTGCAGGAGCCTGCTGCAACGTCAGATCACGGTGACCAGCCCTCTGTGGCTACAGGGCCATTCTAATGGTAAATCAATAGTCTGATAGAAGCAGACCAGAAATCTTTTGACACTTATTCAAGAGGGACTTGTCAAAACACGATGTATTTATGGCCCAGTTCCTGGCTGCCTGTTCAAAGGCACTTGAACCCCTGCCAAATCCTAAACACACTCAGATTCCCAGGAGTTATATTCAGCACAATAAGTGGATATTTCACAGTAAATATTGCCCTGTCACAGAGCTGCTGTAGGCAACAATTGGGCACTTTGTCTGAGCAGTCTGCAGAAGGAGCTGGGAAGTCTCAAGGATTCATCTCGGGCTCCAAAGAGCTGAGGGCTGACGGTGGGCGTCTGCTCCTCACCAAGGAGATCCAGGATTCCTCTCACTGCCCTGGGGCAAACGGGCTCGTTCAGTGCCTGGTGCCCTGTGCTTGTGTGGAGTCACGAGCCTGAACTGTTCCTTCTGCTCCCTCCTCTCAGCTCTGCACCATGGCCGGGATTTCGGCAGCACGGTGTAGGCTGTGGCACACTGCAGTGCCCCTGGAATCGGCTTGGTACCAGGGGGAGGGGGAGGCTCAGGAGGAGAGGGGTGCCCAGGAGGAGAGGGATGCTCCGGAGAAGGATGCTCAGGAGGAGAGGGGTGCCTGGGAAGAGAGGGGTGCCCGGGAGGAGAGGGCTGTTCTGGGACAGGGATGTGTCCCAGGTCTGCATGGTGCTCAGCGTGGTGCAGCTCCACGCCATGTCCGGAGGCTCTGCAAATGGGAGAACAGCAAAGGCTGGGATGTGATTTATTGGATTTGTCATCTGTGTGACTGGTGGCTGTCACCGCTGAGGAGGGCTGAGCACACCAGAGAGCCTGGGCTTCAGGGGGAGTCCTGTTTCTGATGAGAACTTGCACCCTCGAGTTCCCAGTCCCGACCAGGCAGGGGTAGTGACTGACCTGTATTTACTCAGATCATTAAACCCCTGGACACTGAAGTGCAGGCTGTGGGTGGAGAGTCATCTTCTAGATGCCCAAACCCCACCAGGGGAATTCAGACCTGGAGGAATTAGTTGCATTCTCTTGCCAGCTCCCATTGAGAAGTTGTTTGGGTCAGAGTAAATGTTTGTGTAGGTGTGGTGGGAAGGGTGTCCATGATGAACCCCAAACCAGTGACCCTCAAAGCTGATAGATCCTGGGGAGAGGGAAGTGATTTGGGTTCTGAGCAACCTGCTCTAGCTGCAGATGTCCCTGCTCCCTGCAGGGGGGTTGAACAAGATGACCTTGAAAGGTTCCTTCCCACCCAAACCAGTCTGTGACTCTATGAAGGGCTGAGAAGGGCTGGCCCAGGTGACCCCAACAAGATGGGGCATGGTGTGAACCCCAGATCCTGTGGTCTCACCAGTGGGCAGGCAGCAGGTGAAACAGACTAAAGAGTGACCTTAACCTAGGGACAAATCACATCTATTGTAACCTCTTCTTTCCATCTTATAGCTGAAAATTGAATCTTTGCTTTATTTTTTGGAGAAGGCTTTGCTAGGTTTGGGGTGCTGAGCCCCACTGCTGCCCAGGGGCTGGTGGGTTGGGACTGGAGTTAGGAGCAGAAGCTTGGCTGATCTCACCAGTAAGGTCAAAACCTTTGGGGCACCTCAGGCACCAGCTTGGGCTCTGTGAAACGCCCACCTTTAAAAGCTTCAGAGCCTTCTAATCTGCCCTTCTGTGGTACAGGGAGGGGGAAATGTGTGCAACATCTGCTCCCTACCATGCAAGAGGTCCTCTGAAATCCGTGTGTGGTTGCCAACTGATGTTGTCTCACTCTTCTGGTGGATCTCACATGGATCAGATGAGCCTCTGACGCTGGCACGTGCCACCTCTGCCATGTCACCTCTCATGAGGGGACCGAGAGCTCCACTGCCCCTTCTGGAAACAGAAAAGTGGCTCTGGGGTTTATTTACCAGTCCAGGAATAAAACGAAGCTTAGTTCATTTTGCTGTCCTACTCTTGTTGCCCTGAACGTCCCCTGAAGCTTCCTGTTCATCCTCCTGTTGCCCATTAGCAGCACTTTATTGGTTACCCCCTCCCCTGTTCCTGCTGTGTAATAATTGTGGGTTTATGTGGCCATTTTTCTTGGGAGTTGTCAAAGAATAATTACGCCCCATTAACTCCACTTTGTATCATTACTAATTCACACCTAAAGAGTATTTTCCAAGCAACTGATCTCAGTTGTCTCTTAATTGCTGAAGTCCATAAACTCCATAACGCTGAAACTGTGTGAAGGATTCACACCCTCTAAAACTTTTCCCTCCAGTGCAAAACATAACAGAGAATCTGAACTCAGCAGCTTTATCAGGTCTCAGTTCTTCCCGATTTAAGTGAGTTATTTGCTTCTGGCTCTACTGAAGACCACAAAACGTCGATTAAGATGTAAAAACCACAAGACTAGAAACACAGTAGAAGTCTAGATGTGCTTCCGATAGGTTAAACAGAATCGTAGAATCGCTTGGGTTGGAAGAGACCTTTAAGATCATCAAGTCCAACTGTTAACCCAGCACTGCCAGGTCCCCACTGACCCATGTCCCACCTGGGCACACACTGGCTCATCTTCAGCTGCCTGTCGACCAGCACCCCCAGGTCCTTTCCCTGGGGCACTTTCCAGCCACTCTCCCCCTAGCCTGGAGCATTGCAGGGGGTTGTTGTGACCCAAGGCAGGACCCAGCACTCAGCCCTTTTGAACCTCATCCCATTGGCTTTGGCCCATCGATCCAGCCTGGCCAGATCCCTCTGTAGATCACTCAGGCAGATCAGCCCTCCCACCCAACTTGTTGTCATCTGCAAGCTTACTCAGCTTGATCCGCTCAGCCAGATCAAGGTGTCAAACAGAACTGGCCCCAGTGCTGAGCCCTGGGGAACACCACTGGGGAACACCACTTGTGACTAGCTGCCAGTTGGGTTTAACTCCATCCCCCACAGTTCTTTGTGTAGTGTACCGGTCTGTGTTGCTGAGTGGTGCTGAGTGGCTGACTGAGGCTGAGAACCCAGCAATGCCCCTCTCACCCGTTCCAGTGGGGCAGGGCAAGTAGAGATCCAGCTGGGTCAAATGTGTTTGGGGCTCACACTGAGGGCTGCTGACCCAGGATGAGGATCTGGAGCTTGTCTAGGTGCTGTGGGAGCCCAGCAGCAGGAGCATCCTCTGGGATGCTTCCCCAAGGACTTCACCTGCAAGGGAGCTGGTGCTGGTTGGAGACAGTCCCAGTTCCCCGGGTGCCCTGGCATGGACCCTGGCTGGAAAGGCAGCACTGAAGCACCCTCCTGGGATGCTGGAGCCAAACCCAAGCCCTTGCCACGGGTGCAAAGAGAGCAGCAGGAAAGGACAGAATCATTTTTACTTGTTTACTCCGTGTTTAATGCAATTAATAAGCAGTTTCCTCCAGGTATAGCCTGAAGCTCTAAAAAATCCCCCCAAATCATCCTACCCCAAAGGACGCAGTAGCTCTTCACTCTTCAGCTAAACCACTCATCGCTGCCAAACCCAAGAGCTCGTCCCACCCCACGGCAGGGCTGAGTCCTGCTGCAGCCCTTGGGCATCCCGGGGGAGCGTTTGGAGCTGCTGCCCTTTCTGCTGTCAGCTCCTTCTGCGAGGAAAAGGCTCGATCCCTGAGAGCTGCTTGGGCTCCCTTCACCAAGCAAACGGTTCCGACTGAGCATCAGAGAAAAATATCCTGTTGGTGGATTTTTTTTTTTTTTTTCCCCTGGAAAAACATCCTGGACCCCTGGCAGAGAAACAGTTTCTGCACAGAAAACATGACACTATTTACAAAAAGCAATGTCTAATATCCTTTTCCAGCTTGGAAAGAGGAGTTTATTTGAATACATCCCTTTTTAATTGCCGTGAGCTGGACTTGTAAATACTGTAAGTGGTTGAGTAATAGTCATGTGTGAGCAGATCAAATGAAGGGACGTTTTTTTCCGCTCTTGGGGCCTTTGTGTATTCCCACAGCTCGGACAAGGGGACAACACAGAGCAGATATTGAAGGAAAACAAAAGCCTCCTAATTAAAGGGTGGTTTCAGCCCAGGGGGTGCCCGTGTGCGGGGGTCCAGCCAGCTGCATGTGTTGGGATTGCTTAGGGAGGTGATAGAGCAAGCTGTGGGGATTCCATCCAGTGTCAGTAAAACGGGTCTTCCTCTCCTCAGAGAAAGGGGAGAGATCCCCCAAGAGACTCAGGGGGACGTGGGAAAGTCCATTTCCTCTAGCAGGTGTCTGCACCCGTGTCACCTTATTGCCATCATTCAACCGAGACAGAAAAAAATCTGCTTGGCTGGTTTTCTGGATCAGTTTTTAAAACAATCCATAAATGAAATTTTTCTAAGATGGTCCTTCCTCAGAGCAACGTGGTGTGAGATCAGCTTAGGCATTAACTGCTGCCTCGGCACCAGCACGGTTCTGGGGCAGGATGGAGTCCGCGTGGTTGGGCAGGTCACTGGGAGACTCTCTGATGCCGGTTGATCTTCATTTTCCCATCTCGGGTGCATACCTGGAAGTCCTGCTTTTGCTCTGCAAATCATTTGGTCTGAAAGCAGGAGTAGTTTGTATTGGAAACAATTTCCTGATGCAATTTGGATTTCCTTCTGAATAATCCTTCGCCCCGGCGGGACGGTGCAGAGGGATTCTAGAAATGCTTAACTGGTCTTGCCAGGAGTTAAACGTATCCCTCAGTCTTTGCAAGACAGATGGTTAAGTTGGAAGATACCCTGCAGGCACTGTTAAAAAAAAATGCATGGGAAGGGCCAGGAAGAGAAAGAACCTCTCTGCCAGCGTGGGCTTGGAGTCCCCGTTGCTGTTGGGTCAGTGGTGTGCGGGGGCCTGGCGAGGGGCCGGCACAGGAGGGAGGAGCAGGACTCGGAGGAAGGATTTAATTCCAAAAAAACCCAATTGTAGAGGGTGAAGGCAGCAACTTGACCGTCATTCCCTCTCTTCCAGGCATGCTCGTGGTGATCGTGCTGCTGCTGATCGCCATCGCCGTGGTGGCCGTCTGGCCGACACGCTGACGGGGACCC